TGTGTCGGACAGAAAGATATGCAAAAACTACTTTCGTCAATAATTTTTCTTAAAAAGCATACCAAACGTTTAGTAGCAGTAAGTTCATGCACTACCTCTTCCACTATTGTGTACTCATGTTACTTTCTGTTACTATGGTGACCCTATCTGCTTCGTTTATTTTTAGATGCCAGCTCGTTTCCTATGACAGAACGAGAGAACCATAAATGTCAGTGAATTCGCTGAGCGGAACGTCGCTTTGGTACATTATATAACGATGCATAGACACCGGTCAGAAGGTGGACGATTGTTTTTCATGGTTCATAATCTTGCCTGTAAAGACCATTTAATGGTTTGTTGTTTGAGCGGACACACTTACGTTCTCGGTTGAGGTTGAGAGGAGGCGAACTCTGAGTGATAATATTTATTATTAACGTTTCGATCAAAGCTGGGACTAGTTGTCAAACGATAACATGTGTGGATGAATTGGGTTTGCTCGTGCTTTGCACTGTGCTTTACATCGCGCCTGTTTGTCTATCAAGCCCGCGTTCCTCATTAGCTGTACAATCGTTGGGTAATTTTTATCGATTTCGACGTGTCGATTGAATGAGTTGATAGAGTGATGCGCTTCGAGGATCAGACGTTCCCCTTTTTCTCTTTGCCCTCGCCACTACTTCTTTTTCGTTGATTCTGATCGCGTGACCTATCGTTACGTTATAGTTCCACAGATGTGACTTCGGGTCAGTGAGTCGTATTGCAAGCGTGTGTTCGTGTGGGCGAGTGCACAGTTGTCTGTCTCACCTACGTTGGTGACGGTTTAGGCACAGAATTGCCTACACCAACCCTGATTGGTCGTGTGGTTCGACGTGGCCCTTGCCGTTCAACGAAATTGACTGCCGACTCCTCTGCGTATCTAACCTGCATATGTGGTATGAATTCACTAAGACCATGACGGGAACGCAGAGTCTGTGTTCTGCCTGACGGTTTGGTGGTGGTGACCAAATTTCACAAGGAGAACGGGAAAAACAAATTAACATGTTTTGATGTTATGATTATCAGTATTCAACAGAGCCCTGAAGCACAAGACAACCGAAATTTGATGAAAAAAACACTGTTTTTCCATTAATGAAAGCAATCGGAAAAATATACCGAACAGAAGGTTAAACTGCAGAGTGAATAAAGCAACAAACGTAAACTGGCGTGTTCAAAAGCATGGGCTACATGACCTGATTAAAAGTGAATGCGGAACCTGTCCTACGATGAAACCAATGCGGAGCACTGACTCTACATCGTTTCTGAATGTTTTCTATTCCTAACTATTCAACACTGCGACTACCCGTCTGGTGAGCTTAAAGATGGTGCTCAGCGGACTAAAACCACAATAAGGTTTGGAATAGTATACGAAAAATTGAACTATTGCACTAGCAAATATGCTTCAATTGTGTAAAACATGATGGGATGATCCTGAACGCTAATTCCGCAAAAGAAACAGCATACCAAGTCACTAGTTTTGCATGGTTTATCTGAGTTTCGTTCCGTAATCGCAAAAATGTGACCTTGATCTACCAGAGTGACATCGTGAATGGCGGTAAGTTGATGCGAACGGTACGATTCAAATCAGACCAATTCGCTCGATAAAATTATTTGCTGGTGAGAAAATCCTATTCGAATCAATACTGGCGCGAATTTAGTGAAATTCTACTATTTCCCTAGTTCATTTCGACAACGCACTGCGTCCGCTCACTTGCAATCAACTAGAAACGATCTACGCACCAGTCGGGCCGGGTTAATCAGCTTCCTTTCAATTTCCAGCTTAGTCCTATAGACGCACTGAAACAAACGTGGTTGAAGCAATCGTTTTGTTATTGTATGACATATTGGTCTACGTTTGAATATTTCTGCCAGATTCATTGATTTTGCGGGGTATTTGTGAACAGATCGTGATTTGTTCAGGGAGTTCGGTTCGATCTTGATGATCCCGTCAGTTGTATACCGAGAGATAGTAGACAATATAGCGCAAATAATTTAATGATGAGTGGCTACTTCACCCAAATTTCTAGTTTCGATATCTTTTGTTCTGGATACGGTGGAATTATCCGACTTCTCACAACCGTTTCTCGGCAATTGCGGTGGAGAACAATCACCATTGTCCTGAGGCATTACCAGAAATCTGCTAGTTCAGTTAAACTGACTTGGCGAAGTAAGAGAGAGGTTGCAAGAGAGAACATGGAGAAAAGCGTTTCACAAGTCGAGGGTATCATCAATGATAACACCGATGTAGGTTTCAGTTTTTACAAACATTAACCATGCACTTTCGTGGGCCGGTTTTCGTTGCTGTCTTTTGGTGCCACATTTGGATAAAATACCAGAATGAAGATTGGAATGTTGAGAGCAAATTGAAACGCAAGATGGAGAATTCGTGGAAGGTGTTAGGGGAATAATGAGCGGATGCACGAGCGCCACTGTTTGCGGCACCCAGCCATATCACTCAGTGTCTCTAACCAATAGTGACTATCATCTCGAGGTCCATAGCCAGGGAGCCTAACGGGACCTAGGTTACCGATGTAGGCTGTCTGCACGCGTCCGATTTGAGGACCCCGTTCGTCGGCGATCAACATTTTTTGTAGAGATCATAAAGGCAGTAAAATCTGCCCATGAAACAAGAAAAACCCATCTGTTCACTGCTTCCTGGAATCAAAACCGTGCAACCAACAAAGCCGGACCAACTTGATGATGTTTCTGTGCTCAATAGAAATGATTTCAGCTGTTCTATTCAGATAGGTCAGTCACACTGCAATAAAGCCAAACACAAATTACGTGAATCCGTGAAGGAAAGAGTTGGTGCTACGATGCGCAAATTTTCACATTCAATTATTCACATTTCTAGATGACTTATCAGACCGTGTGGAACCGCAACAAATATATACGTATATATAATGTATTTTGCTTTACTTCGTTGCTATGCTAACGCCCTATATCAACATTGTATTTCCTGCAATATGCACCATGTTAAGATGCAGCGAAATCGTCCTGGACATCGTGCAGTATTGCAATATGGTCTTTTCTTTTGATATATATATATATATATATATCGGTTTTACAGCCTTATAGGAGACTGGATGAAGTTCCTTAGATCCATTTCTTCCTTCTTTCTTTGTATCCCTTCGCAGTGATTACTCAGACTAATGAGAATCAGGTCCTTCTCGTGGGTTATCAACACCGAGGTTGAACTTTGTCAGATGCAATCGTCAAATTGGGACCGTTAACGTGTTTCCCAGTAAAACGGTTCTATAGAATCCCGTCGGAGGTATTATATTTTTTAGAAAATGGACAGAGGACATCTGCAAATGAAACGTACTATTGAAATTGGTAATGGTCCTTAATGAACACGAGCAAAACACCCTGGTGGATTCAGTGTCCTCGATCTTTTGAGATTACAACATTCAAAAGAAACAAGTGGTGTGATACAACTGTCACGAACCCCATTGTATAAAGCATATACCTTCACATTGTTGCTTATTACTGCTAGGCAGCATTTCCATGCAGACGTAGATTGTATTCTAACTAATGGACGGGTAGGGCACTGTTCTCAAACCGGGGTCAAAGTGAATCCAAGATGGTCGATAAATCTGAGTCCTTAAACTAGTACTTGGTCGAGCACAATTGGTGTTCCATCGTTTTAGCTTGCCGTGTACTAGAGTATTTCACCCAGTTGATTGAAATAGCACAAAGTATACAAAGCATTGCCCCCTCCTCTTTACCGATATTTTGTAAGGAAGTTAGAGTCACTCACATTGATCAGTTACATTGAAACTGTGAATCCATAGTGCTTTATTGCAAGTAAATTGATGGTCACAATAAAAGATGTTGATCACGATAACTACCTCCCTATTCAAACAGGAAGCAAATCGACAAAACGTGCTTTCAAGCAATTGGATAGCCTCACATTCGATTATTACACTACTTACCAAAGTGTTACAGTAGTGAAGCCGAGAGATCAGTAAATCCATATAGGTAGATGTCGAACGGTAGGCAGGAATACAAGACTCTTCTTCGTGGTCGATCCCCTCTGATTGTCTTGGAGTCGGAGCAGACAGCGTGGAAGTTCGATCCACATCGGACTCCGATTTGTTCTCCGAATCCTGCGTCAGACCTTTGATTTCCTTGGAGTGTTTCTCCTCAGGCATAGCAGTCAATAGGAATCGCAACAAGGCTGGTAGTATGGCCGAATTAGTCGTACGTACCAGGATCTCCTTCAGCAGTACGGTTGCCGTGATTACCTCGAGGACATTGGGCTGGAAAGAGAGAATGCATGTTAATGAGAACAGGAGTTTGAAACATGAACGGCCGTGGCAAATATCTCATTTTCTGATAACTTGGGGCAGTGGTTATGAGTGTAAATGAACTTCAAGATTATGTATGTTTCCATCCTGGTCTTGATCAAACAGAAAAAAATGCAAATTACGAGGTGACATTTGAGGTAAAACCCCGAACAACGTATGTATGGACGCCGCTGAATAAGTCTTTCTCTGCAACATATATACATATATTGGAATTGTGAAAAGTTCAGTAGCCCATGTTGGATTCAAACCCACACATGGACGCCGCCTACGCTTTTTGTACAGCGCACGCTCTACCAGCTAGGCTACGAGGCCACACCGATAGCACTGATCTTTTCACATTCGAATAACCTATCAATCTGCTAAACAACCGTTCGCACAATTAACCTTGCCTTAGATGTTCATTCGGTGGACTCCGGTGAATTCGAAGGAAAACCTGCCGGGGTAATCACTTTACAATCTAACTGGTGGATGCCATGTCTTTGTAAATTGCGTGCGTAATTCAAATGCGAAAAGATCAGTGCTATCATTGTGATCTGGTAGCTCAGCTGGTAAGGCGTGCATTGTCCAAAACATAGGCATCGTCCATGCGCAGGTTCGAATCTCACCGAGGCTACTGAGCTTTTCACAATCCCAACATGAAATTTCAATCTGCCAAATAACCATATGCACATATAACTGAATATTTAAAAAGATACCATGTATACGCATCAACTAGATAATGGATTCCCAACAAGCAAGCTTTTTCTGTCCACTTTATTTCCCTTAAATCGCTTTATTGCTTCTCGTGATACTTGTTAGCAGACGGTGATGTGCCAACAATTGGTCTCAGTGACTCCTAATCATACTTCCACCGATCATATATGTTTCACAGGACTGTTGTCGGTCGATGAAATCCGGTTATCCCATCCACCCATCCACAATGACTCCCTCCCTCTCCGGAAAACCTTTAAACCAATCAATGGCTTCAACATCTGCACTGTTTTGTAACATACATGTTCCATCAGAACATGCTTAAGACTCTCAGGAGGTAACATTCATTCCAAGACATTTCTTATATATTTGAAAACGGGTATCTGCTGTGTTTCCCTTTATTGGTGACCATCGTCCGAACCGGTTAACTGTTTTCTCCCCCCGGGGTTGTTTCCTCTCAGGCGTGGGGAGGATTATAACGATTATAACATGAAGTAAAATGTTTCAGCACCCATTTACTGTCTGACTGGTTCCTCTCAGATTATTCATAATTATCGTGTTAGAAATAAGATTGGAAAGAAAATTTCATTAGTGATTCACTTCAACTTAATGCAATTCAAGCTATTTTTCAGCGTTGATGTCTCTCACACAAGGTTAGTGTGCAGTTTCAGTTGTACTACTTGATGGAACCGTTTCCAATTCAGCCACATCTTTCTCATCGTTATTCATCTCAGAGGAGTCCGACGCGTCTGCATTTTCAAAACACTTGAAATTCCTTTCTCTCAACTAGACTGCATGTCGGCATCTTTGCATGCAATCCTGTGTATTTGTGTTCGCTCTACAACAAATCAGGACGCAATTCTGCTCAGGAAAACTGCATTCTCGTTAAACTGATAGCTTTTCCCTCACCGAGGGTGTTCGTCACATTGATCGTCCCAAGAGGATTCGCGGGCGCTGGCGAGGTCATCCAGTTGTGCTGTAAGAGTTGCTAAGTGAATTGGGCAACTTCCTGCAAGATTCAATGGTAATACGGAATTTGCAATAGCAACTACTGGATAAACATCAACGGTCGTCTTAAACGAATAGGCGAACACAAAACAACACGCAAAATAGGCAGAATCCTATCGCGCTATTTATCAAACAATTTTGGTGACGTTCCATGAAACACCCGGCTGGCGCGTAATGTTTGTACAGGTTTGATATCTGTTTCAGAAGGAGGGCCTTCAGATCGATTGGTTTCTGTCGGTAAGCAGGTGTGCGACCCGATGGCCGTGCTTGATCGAATGAGTTGTTTGTTCTTGGGGAGTTTCATTTGTGAACTTCATTGGAACTTGGAGGTGACCGCCAATTGGGAATAAACACATGATCGTACGTGAAGAAAAGTCAACTAACATGTAAAATCCTATGTGGACTTCAAATGAGCCATTTGGCTATCCCGACACACAAACACAAACTGAATAAACATTATCTGATCGAACTCAAAGGGAACCTAGCGACTAGACGCTTGAAAAGTAGATATTTGTGTGGCACAAATCGATGAGGGATAAGCTATGTAAGACCTATAAGTAATCAGTCATACACACCAATCACAACCAGAATCATTGCGTGTGATTAACAGATACAGCGGAATGAGTTGTTCACACCGATTTCTAATAATCCAGATGAAATAGATGATATTATAATCTCTCATCGGTTGCACAGCTCAGGAGAACAATAAAGCCTTCTCAGTCTTCTCAATTAGAAATCAGGGTGATCTGTGAAAAAAAATTAAAACCGTAAGATCATTACTGATTGTAATACGTACATCCTGCGTTTTAATTTTCCCAAACGGAAAGATAGAGATACCAGTCAGATCTAAAGACAGAGAACAGATCCGTTTTCGACTCTTCCCTCATGAGTGATTGAATCGCTCACCATTGAAGAGAAATCACACACAATTTCTCAGCTTAAATGGAGACGCACACACCTGAAGCATGAACAAATCGCGTACGGAAACGCTGCTCATTATTATATAAATTAGGATCGAAAACATTGCAGGTTTTAAGCATCTTGCACAACATAACAATTCATCTTGCTCATGCAGTTTCACGTGATTTGGTATTTTGAGAATTCCCGATCAATAAAACCGTGTGAACGAAGGCTTTATTCTTGTGAACCTCCCACAGGTTTACATTCAATTATCCATATCAGAGTCAAGTTCATAGAAGAAACAACAAAGAACCTATACAATTGATATCTGAAAGCGTATTATACCATTGGTAAGATAAAACGTGTTGCAACGTCCTCCCTCGATTACGCACATCACAACTGCTGATGATGAACCCAAACGAAATCGTATAAATCAATAAATACATTTGCACATCTCGTATAGCTCATCCCAAAAACAGTATTGCGTAATATCATGTCGCCGTTCTGTGTGCGGTGAGGCTATTAAGGTCAAGTGCTTTGAAAGTTACGTAACTCGCTTAGTTGAGTACTTATTGATTCCTTTTTCAGAAGTGGTAAGATTTGCGAGTCTGATTTTGCGTATTATTTTGCACTGCCCACTACTATTGGTGATCAATAGCGCGCGGTTACCGTATTTTTTCAAGAACAAAACAATGCAAATATTAGTATGAGGAAATCCTATGATGAGTTAAATGAGAGAAGCATCGTAGACTAAAAGTCCCTTGACATCCCGGTCGCAACTGAGTTTTCTCAAACCAGAGGGTGCAACTGAAAAACCGTCCCCAAATGGGCGGCGGTGATCAAGCGGTCAAGGTCACCAAATTATCGCTCCCGGGGACGTGTGTTGGAATTCGACAACCACAGTCTTGATTCCCCTATTTTCAGTGTGGTCTAAAGCAGCTCTTGGATTGACCGCTTCCGTCGTCCCGAAAGTTGTTGTTCTGTTCTGGTTTACACATTCAGCACGCTTTTCGAATAGATAATTCAGCATGACTTGAATTGGGTGGAGAAGCTGATTAGTATCAGTGGATCTGTACAGAAGGATTTCTTTCAAAATCCCTAAAGGGGAACATGCACAGACTATTCAGGTCGGGATGTTGTTACTTTTCTTTCCAAACTGATGACTGACAACCTAAGCCCTGGAGGTCGGGATGATCTACCCCACGGGCAACTAATAAAACAAATCCTTGAATAAAATGCTGAGAACCAGGGTCAAAACGTTTCTATCCATTCGTATCATAATAACAATGGACATTCATCCAAAGGGTGTAATGGGTATAGGACAAGTGTGGCAACTCTAAGCTGGTTGACTGTCATGTGCTATATTCGAATTTTTCTGTTTCCATCATCTACCCAGCTCTAATCCGGAGGTCACAGAGGCTGAGGTATGCACCTACGGTCAAGCGCTGACATGGGCGAAATTAACCACATTGCTGAAGTTAATCAAAATCTAAAAGTCTCCGCAAGTTTGCCCCGAGTGTGCGAAGACAAACAGTTCTTTTCCTAAGATAATGGACTGGATTTCTGATGGTACTGAAGGAAACCTGTTTAACTAACAGAGGTGGATTGAACCCCCCGGCTTGCCTCCTCATCTTCACATCAAATGAGGCTTAGGCAGCCATATACTGGTCCACGACTAGCTAACAATTTCTGCTTGGTTGTGCAAAACCAGGCTGGTTTTAGACCTGATCGAGGTTGTACGGATCACATCTTCACTCTTCGCCAAATTCTGGAGCACCGACATTCTTTTCGTAGACCCACCATCTCTGTTTTCCTCCGCTTGAAAGCGGCTTTCAACTCAGTTGACCGCACTAAACTCCGGTGCTGCCTTTCCCCGAAGGGTGTACCCGAGAGGATAATTTCAATCTTTATACTTTATACTTGCTTTATACTAACAGCCGAAGTTAAGTCCGAGGTTACGGCACTTCTTCATCTGAGTTCACCACGGAAAGTAGTGTTCGTCAGGGTTGTCCTCTCTTGCCCTTTAACCTTGCTAAAGATTATGGAAACAGCCCTATCCTCGTGCGAGGATAGCGGTATCCATTTATTCACAGGTAGTAGACCGTCTGATCTAGAGTATGCAGCAGGCATTGTGCTGCTAAGTGAAGATTCAGTTAAGTTGCAAGCTTTTCTGGATAACTTGAATGCCGTGTACGTTTTTCACCTTCAGTATAAAATGTTACTTCAAAACTGGGTTGGTCCAGTACCCAGCCTCACGTTAACCGGGGAAGTAACAGAGCAAGTGGATGAGTTTTGTTATTTGGGCAGCTGTACCTCACCCGGTGGACGCACCACGGATGAAGTGTCGGCTCGCA